TTGTAAGTCCACAGACATACCGCTGTGCCACTGGGGATCACTCATTGATAACTATACCAATACTAATAAACATATACAATACTTGTAAAATGTGAAGGAAAAATTGAATGAAAAAAATATTTTTTTCCGAGTTCTTAATACTGAATGACAATATTAAACTGATATCTGTTAAGAAACACCAGAAATAAATTTTATTTATTCGACGTAACAGTTATAGAAAGAAAGTATTGAAACGAAAACTTGTAACACTTGGTCATTTCACATAATTCGTTGACAAAGCATAACATATTTGATGGAAATCACTAACTTGAAACGTTATTCTTTGAAGCTATGAATATTTACTTTATAAGGTTGTTTGTAACAACACCAAACTTACATTTATTGATTATTGTGCTGCCCTTGGAACTATTTTCTCCTTGATCGCTCGTGGTCAGTCTGATGGTCATCTTTGCGCACTATGGCCGACACAGCATATTTCCATTATAAAAAAAATCGTTTAAAGAAAAGAGAGGTTACACTTAGATCCTGCATCTTGACAAACTTTCCACAAACTCTCTACTGTTCATGAGCTTCGACTTTTCACATCTAAACAGACCAAAGGCACAAAAGTCAACTGAAGTTGCATCTGGCGATTTGGCAGAGTATAGTAAAGGGGAATGTTGGGATGCCAGCTTCTTCATCCATCTTTTCCAGAAAAACTGTTGTTTATTCCAAGGAGTCATTAGAAGATTGTGAACATTTGGCTCGTGAACCTTCTTTAACTTGAAATACATATTTTTTATCTTATTAACGGTAGCAGAAGGTATATCGAGTTTCATCCCAATGGCGTTTTGGGCCAGAGGATTCGTTTTCGTAATCATAGTCATTACTTTGCAAATGGAAGCGTTGTTTCAGATTTGCTTGGACTTCAGTTTTGGAGTCCGTTGTTCTTCTAAACAACCTGCTGTGCAAGTTTTCTGCTTCTTTGGAAAACATCGAAGACTCCTTTCTTCTAAAGGTTGTGTCCTTTGGCTCTACATCGTTCAACAATTTCGTTATACGAGTGTTATTTATCGAAAAAAAGTTGTGACTTACACCTCCAAACATAAGGCTTATCTTTGCTGCATTGCACTGTCAAATAGTTGGATATTCGCCATAAATGATATATATAAGTGATAAACATATCTGGACGTTATCCCATATACAAGTGGTATTTATAAATTGCAATTAACATTATATTATAGCCTGTATCTCATTAGAACATACTTTAGTTTACGAGTAAATTCAAAGCATAATAAAATCGTTGCTTAATTGTGCAATCGATGTAAAAAAATAGGATGATTTTACTCAATCATTCAGAAAAAGCAATGACATTATAGAACCTCTCAACTACACGTTTTTAGGGATTTCTTGATAAAATGGAAATATATGCCATCGTTATACAAACTTTCTTATGAAAGTTGTAATATCTTCCTTCCTTCCATAAATGCCCATGATTTAATGACTGATATTTTTTCGTTTTCTGTGAAAGCTATAATAGGGTATTAGAGATAACGTTAAACAGATAATGCCCTTTGAAGTGTAGACATATTGTGTCTGAAAATCTATAATAGGGTATTAGAGATAACGTTAAACAGATAATGCCCTTTGAAGTGTAGACATATTGTGTCTGAAAATGACCGGAATACATTCTTTTCTCATCATTATTGTTATTAATTTATATATTAGATATGTATTATAGTCTAACTCATTTTTACCAATGTGTGCATATGATACGGACTTTATTATTTGTTTGTTTTGCTAGAGCAAATCTGTCTTTGGCTATCTGCTGTGTCCACCGAGGTGAATCGAACCCCGGATTTTAGCGTTGTAAGTCCGTACAATTACCGCTATCACACGAACTTTAACAAGGATGTATAATATGAAGGCTAATGTCTAAAGAATATATATACAAAAGTATACTTAACTACAAACAAATTGTAAGTCCGTACAATTACCGCTATCACACGAACTTTAACAAGGATGTATAATATGAAGGCTAATGTCTAAAGAATATATTTATGATTAATATAAATATATTTACAAAAGTATACTTAACTACAAACAAACAAAATTTAAACATCTATGGTGTTTTTATTGATATACCTTTAAAATTTGGTCGTTTAATAAAAATTTATAATTTGTTTGTAAACAGCGTAAAAAGCGTTAAGAATGGTTTATTTGTAAATTCATTAAACGTTTTTAATTTTTCTATATAAAACTACTGTTTTCTTTAATAAATCTACTCTTTAATTATAAAAAAAAGATATCATGTAAATAATACTTTTTGTCAATAACATTTTTATAGCAGAATTGTTTGTTTGAAGTTAAGAACAAAGCTACACAATGGGCTATCTGTGCTTTGCCCACCACGGGTATCGAAACCCGGTTTCTAGCGCTGTAAGTCCGCAGACATACCGCTGAGGGGTAATATAACAGAAAGACTGATATGAAAGTAGGTATTTGGCTATATAGTAGACAAAGTAAATAAATAATAATTGTAAAGTAAATGCAAGTAACATGGAAAGAAAGCACACGTGTTTATGTTAACTCAACAACGATTCAATTGATAAAGGTCCTTTCCCTCGCTGTGATTTTCCAACTGTTCTCCCATCAACATATTCAGATATAGATATTGACCTATTTGACAAAATTATTAAAATTCCTTATCAAATTACGCATTTCATTTGCGTTTCAATCACACGCATTTGTGAGAAATTAAAAGAGACTACTTGTTTCTATTGATTATGTTCATCTTTGTTGGAGTGGGATTATATAAAACACTTATGACACGCATCTTTGAAGCAGCAAACATTTATGTACGGCTTCTGATTCTCATCCTTTTAGGTAATTAGATTCCAAGAAATCATTAATTTTTTATGCTTGCGATTATTTTAACATTCGAGAAGATAGCTGTTAGACGATACGGAGAACTGGAGAGGATTTCAAATCTTGCTTTAGTGGAGTCTTTTTATTTGAATTACATACTCTAAAGCAAACAATATAAAAAACATGCGAAGTTGAGAGATAAAAACACAGTAACATATTGTCAAACACCTGTTGGGAGAGGGGTATGCAACAGCTACCTCGTATGACTTTAAGATCAACCAATATGCTGATAGTGAGTGGCGGCTTGCCTCGAATTAAAGAATCATCCAATAGGGGGAAAAATAGTTTGTGAACTTGAATTAGTTTTTGATACTTTTGTGGTATTCTGTGAGATTTGATTTGATAATCTGAAATCCCCAAAACACCATCGGTTTTCCTGCTCCTACTCTGGACACTTAGAAATGGTGATAATCGCATTAAGACCTATGTTATCGGCGACAACCATTTTTGGTCTAATAAACTATATAATTTGCATTAACACAATTTTACATTAGAAACCAACCGTATGTGTTTACTTAACATGATATAACTATAAAACTTGCACTTGTTGACCTGTAAAAGTAAAAATTAAACTACATCCATGCTTGACATTTATTCTAACTTAAATTAACTAGAAATACTGGAATTATGCTATCAAGTCAACCGAAAAAAAGACAACTATATCGCTATATATATATATCTTCTAGCACATTCCCACGAGTCACGATATCTATCTAAAGTATTAATTAACAGGACGTCACGTGATGTGTGAGATTTATTCCTAACACAAAACGATATTTGACATGTTAATTCATATATCCTTTGATATTTTACTTTTCCAAATACAATGCTTTTTTGTTGTTGTTGTTGTTGAATTTCACGCAAAGATACCAGAGGGTCATCTAGCCGTCCTTAACTTAAAAATGATAGACTAGAGGAAAGGCAGCTAGTCAACACCACCCACCGCCAACTTTTGATCTACTCTTTTACCAACGAACAGTGGAGTTGACTGTTACATTATAACGCCCCCATGACTGAAAGAACGAGTGTGTTCAATGCCGTAATATGAACTCGCGGTCTGCAAATATCGAATCAAATGTCCTAACCACCAGGCAATGCCAAGCCTCTAAATATGATGCAAACCTATTTTACTTTACGAAAAACAAACATACCAAGAACTATAATATGTATAATGTTTCTAAACTGTGGTACAGATGACAGCTTTTAAGCTAATGATTTCGGAATTTGCGTTTGGTTGGATAAAGTAATCTTAAAACATAATCAAGCTGATGAAAATATAGAACTGTATTTAAGTAAAGAAAAAGATTGTTAACGTAGATTTTTCAGACTAAATGTCATTGTAGAAATTAATTCTCACTCTTGTGGACTTACAGAGTAGGCATTGCGGGATATTTATACATAATGTTTTCGTCAAAGCTTCATTTGACTGTACTATATATATATATTCAACGCTAGCTATTTTTGGTTTAGTTATTGTAAATTTTATAGAGTAGACCAACAATGGCAAAGAATACGATTCCTCTCTAAATGTATACTGAACTATCCACAAATTTATTAAATACATGTTCACGTTCACACACACACACATATATATATATATACATATTTCTAAGTTTTATACAGAGATGGAAAATTTACAAAACTTATTTGTTTCACTAATACTATAGTTACTAATTATAGGCCTAGCGTAGCCCAGAGGTAGAGTAATAGATTGTAGATATATGGGTTCAACGTTCGCGTCCCGTTACCGAAAAAACAAATCGCGCTTCGCACATTGGGGAAGTGGGAGCGTTATAGAGGTGACGATCCAATCCTACTGTTTTGTGAGAGAAGAGTAGCCCAAGAGTTGGCGGTGGCTGTTATTGTCTAGTTTCCTTCCCTCCAATCTGATAATCTAATGATGGTTAGCCCAGGTAGTCTCTGAGTAGCTTTACGCGGATATCCTAAACCAAAAAAACAATACTTATTGCAAATTTAAAACAATTTTTTTTCATTTAGCAATGTATAGATTTTCCGAAATTCTATGTACTTCAATATTTGTTTCTGAATCTGGAGTTATAGAAAGTGTGAAAAGAGACAAGTCTAATACTTACATAATCAAGGTTGAAGAAGTCACGTGAAAGAGAAAATCGTTCTAATAGTTCACATCGTCGTGGTTAATAGCTGGAGAAATGATCTTCCGGGTCGAATATACTTGGCCAGCTAACTCAAGACTAGCGTGGGTAGTTTGTAGCTTCAGGATATAGTATCCTTCCTACGATCTAGCAGGCGCCGTCTAGCGGCCTTATAAAAATAAAACGATCAATGAAACTGCATGCCTCTGCGTCAAATTTTCAAGCTAGTTCACCGCGAAATCAGTTTTAATGTGCTACTTGTTTGCCAACAAGAAACAAATGATCTTGTAAACCGATTTTTTGGCTATTGAATAAGACAATTTGGACAACATATATAATAAAAATTCACGAAGGGCTCCCTAATGAGATAAGTAGTTTTATGATTATAACGAAAGCATTATTGGGTAGAACGACAATATGCTTGGGAAGTACAAAAAATAACAGACAAAGGAAAAGCTAAAACAGGTTAGCTGTAGGAGAACTTTGCTACCGGGTTTAAGCTCAGTTTTGTTACCTTTCTGTCTTTTCTACTCTGTAATTCAATTAAAAATGTATTAAGAATCAGAAACAACTTATTCAATAAATACAATATGAGTTATGCTTGTTACGGATAAAATACAATATGAGTTATGCTTGTTACGGATAAAATACAATATGTGTTATGCTTGTTACGGATAAAATACAATACGAGTTATGCTTGTTACGGACAAAATACAATATGTGTTATGCTTGTTACGGATAAAATACAATATGAGTTATGCTTGTTACGTATCCGTTTCTTTTTAGGAGTCAAGTCAGGATTTACAATACCTATTAAAACATTACAGGATAGAGCTTATTTGAAGAGTTCTATTCTCTGAAAGTTGAAATTTTTAGGAACACTTTTAAGAACAGAAGGGATAAAAATCTACAACCACAAACAGACATTATTCAGATATTATTTTTTTAAAGACCAAACTTTTCAATACGTTTTTTCCTAAAGGCAGGTGTTAAGTTGGAAATAACAGAGAAAAGAGGAAAAATATATTTATGTCCGAAATTCGTAAGACAAGTTTCAAATAATAAAAGAAGTTTGCTGTTCTTAATGCATCTTTGATACCTTAACAGAAAAACAAATTATTTTATTTTACAATATATATTTCAGGTACGGTAAGAATTTATATAACTTAACTTCAGTGATGACCTTGTAACCATCATGGGAAATTATGTCCAAATTAAACCAAGGTTAAATATTGTATCTGCTTATTAAAAAACTTTATTTTGGCTCATACTTTTGTGTATTACCCTGCCCTCGAATTACCAATAAGTTTGTTTGTTTGTTTGGAATTTCGCGCAAAGCTACACGAGGGCTATCTGCGCTAGCCGTCCCTAATTTATCAGTGTAAGATTAGAGGGAAGGCAGCTAGTCATCACCACCCACCGCCAACTCTTGGGCTACTCTTTTACCAACGAATAGTGGGATTGACCGTCACATAATAACGTCCCCACGGCTGAAAGGGCGAGCATGTTTGATGGGACGGGGATCTGAACCCGCGACCCTCAGATTTCGAGTCGAGCGCCCTAACCACCTGGTTATGCCGAGCCTTACCAATAAAATCTCCCAATTTTGTAACCACCATTATCTAAACTATTTATGCACCGTGTTGCTTATGGGTCCATGACTATGATGGTTACAAGGACCCTAATAATATATGGGTCACACACAAAATTCAAAGAAGAATACCATCAATATGGCAGTTAATTCATTGAAAATGAGCAATAATTTTTTATATATATATTTTTTTTTAGATTGAAGTTTGCAACATGTAAGATAACATAAAGTTACTTACATTCTTATGAGGCAATAATGTGGAACCCAGTGGTAATGAGTTGTATATAAAAAACTGGTAATTTGAGGATTAAGAGGCAAGCAATATTGCGCAGTTTGCTTTGATAATTGATAATCGTTTATCTGATAAAGAACAGATTATGGGTGTTTTTGTGTTTTGTGTAGCGTTCTTAATCCGTTATAGTTTATCGTGAAAACACCTTACAATAATCGATAAAAGAAACATAAAATTTAGTTTAAAAAGTCCATAATTGCAGTAACCTCTGACTTCTTGGACTTAGGACCTTCTATCTTATAAAACCATAACCATCAGTTAATAAACTCAAACGTATTAATTACTTGATTGGATAAAATTCTCAAATATCTTCTTAAAATCCAAACTGTTGTTTTTATGCTTTATTATCTAGTGTCTTCGAGGGTTTTACAAACGGAAATGGGAAAATGTTCTAGGCGTGGTTTCAGAATTTTAGAAAGTCATGTGACAACCACAGACGATATAATGCTACGGTGGAACAGATTGTATCAAAGCTACATTTTCACAATGTTCAGCGTTTGGGGAAGGGGTATGTAACAGCTCTTTTCGAGGCAAAATATTTATACATTCAGATCATGAAGATGTGTTCACATCGGGGATTTAAAACGCTCACAATGAGGACACCTCTTGTACTTAATGACACTGGAAAACAAAATAATTTGAATCAACTTGGGAAATCAGGACCATTCAAAGAGAAACCTGCAACAAGTCGTGCCCAAGCCGTGGTCGGCTAAGTGAGGTGTCTTGTAACAGATGAGGTTTCTCAAGCATATAGTTTAGTGGTAAAAGCCTTCCATATATCCAGACAAAAGTATGTAACATAACCAAGAAGGATCTACGTATGGAAAAGCGAAACAAGTCACATGTACACAAGTTGTCTCACGACATATTCGTTCAGTCGTCACATACCTCAAACAGCTGGATAATGAAACGAGTGTCCATGCTATTCCATACGAAAATATGCAGTCAAGTCGAAAGACGCAGCGCCTCCAGATATCTGTGGGAATGAACTGTTGAAACTAGCACTGGAAAATCATAGTCCTACTACACTAAGTAGATTATGGAAAGTATCGGAGAAGAAGGGTTGTGCTTTGGACAAGAAAGCCTTACGACGGAGCCACTTGCAATGAAAATTATGCCGCTAGACTATTGATAAGATGCACAATTCGTCAGAAAGAGTCTGGCCGCACGTGGCGACATGGATTGTAACTTTTAACTATTATAACGAACACAACCTCTGTATTAGATTATCTTAAGTTATTTATGCATGGTGACATGGGTTGTAACTTTTAATTATTATAACGAACACAGCCTCTGTATTAGATTATCTTAAGTTATTTATGCGTGGTGACATGGGTTGTAACTTTTAATTATTATAATGAACACAACCTCTGTATTAGATTATCTTAAGTTGTTTATGCGTGGTGACATGGGTTGTAACATATAATTATTATAACGAACACAACCTCTGTATTAGATTATCTTAAGTTATTTATGCGTGGTGACATGGGTTGTAACTTATAATTATTATAACGAACACAACCTCTGTACTATATTATCTTAAGTTATTTATGCGTGGTGACATGGGTTGTAACTTTTAATTATTATAATGAACACGACCTCTGTGTTAGATTATCTTACGTTATTTATGAAATTCCTCATGCATTTGTATTTAAGCACAAAGCTACACAAGGGGCTACCTCTGCTCTGTCCACCAAGGGTATTGAAACCCGGTTTCTAGCGTTGTAAGTCCAAAACAATATTGCTGTGCCACTGAGGAGCTATTTATGAATCACTAATTGTATTATATACATATATACCCAAATATAATTATATAGAAACGTCAAACTTTATGGGATATAAATAAACTAGGAATCATAAAAAGTATTTATGTAGATAATTAGGTGAAGTAGTTTTCAGGAGTTGATCCACAGAAAGAAAAAGTAAGACAAATAGATAGAAAGGCGGGCAGAAAGATAGATATTGATTTAATTTTATCTCATGTCTGTAAAGAGATTTCAGTATAAGCTTAAGTTCCACATTTAGAGAGGATTATTTTTCAAGTTATTGCAAGATGTTGTTGTTTTTTTACCCCTGGAATTCCTCTTCTCTTTATACGTACTTTTCACAAAACACGCTGAGGGTCATATTGTGTTTTCCAAAACGAAGCATAAAGAAAGTATTGCATATTTTTGTTATATATATATATATAGCTGTGATATTCAGTCTTCTACGCTCGACATAAACATACATGAGAACATTTACTACAAACATGAGACTGGCAAGCAGGCAGGGTATGACGAGTACTATAAATACTTCATCCAGATATGTTGTTTTACCAATATCCCAAAATGAAATTTTAGTTTTGCTGTCGTACTATGCACTAAGGAAAAACTGCAAGATATTTTTTTGTTGAAAAGTATTTTGTTTATCTCCCAGACACGACTGTCTATGAAACAAAATGTACTTACAGATGTCAAAAACAAAATGCAAGAAGAAAAAAACATCTTTTTATGAAATTCTAATACAATTTTTATGTCTGGAAGTCACGATAATAATATAAAAGTCACATATTGGCTAAATAATAGTAATGTGCTGTTTCCCTAATATTTACAAAAAATAGTTCTTATAAGAGATTGTTTGTTTGTTTTTTGA